AGATTAGGGCTTTTTTATTTTAATTTTTTTTTCTGCTTTCATAGCTTTCTTATCCAATTCAAAGAAATTAGAAAAATATTACTTCTTCTAGATCAGTTTTTTAGATAGAAAACTTATCGTAGTCCATCAAAAATTCCAACTCCTTATTCATCCATCTTCTTTTGTTGAAATATGGTTATAGAAATACTCATATAATGAAGCCTTTTCGAAAAATTATGGTAGTCAATCAAAAATACTAATAGATGTTTTCTTTCCCTTCTCGTCCAAAAATTTCAAACAAATTTTTAAGGTCTCTTTCACACTTTCAGGACTTTAAAAATCATCCATTAACCAATGACATCAAGATCCATAACCCTCAAAACAATTTTAGGAGAAAGCCATTGCTACGCTATCACGCCTATGGGCTATCCCTTCAACTATACAAATGTGAACAAACTTTATGATCTCTTGGGCTTTCTGAACCACACTTCAAAATGAATGATGCAGCAAATTCTGCAAGTTTGTACTTTTAGAAGAAGCTTTAAGGGCAATGGTTAGTTTAAAAAGGAAATTTAAGCTCCTTTAAGCATAACCCCATCAACCTCCCATCTCCACCTAGATAAAATTAAATGTTTAAACCTTAATGCAGGTGATGGTAATCCTATGATTTAGGGATCTCATGCATATTTTATTTCCTCTCTCTGAAATTGACTTAAAGATTTCTTAAAGCTCCCCATCTTTAAAAAATAAAAATAAAGAAGAAGGAAAAGGACAGTTTAAAGATGAGAGATCATTAGAAACAAGTGTGAGCACTTTTTGGGTTATGAAATTACATGCATTATTCCTTCACTGAAACAATATATACAGTTTTATCAGTTGCGACATGAAATGCCCATGGACTGAAATTCCTGTACAACCACGCATTGTAATGCCATCCAAGAGAACCACCCAAGCAAAACAAAAAATAGAACTTGCATTTCAAATATGTGATGGGAAAACTAAAACTGTGTTGATCTTGCATAAAAGCCCACAGCAAAAAATGCTAACAGCTACATTCTCATAACATTTCAAGTATTTGTACAACCAACATGTATTGCAAGTACTAGAGGAACTAATTTCAAAATTTGATACGGTGCTACAGAGCACATAACTAAGCATGTGGTATTTACAACTAAACATAAAATAATATTTTATGGTATTTATATACAACATTTAATTAAGCATGTGGTTCATCAGTTGTGAGCATCAACGGTGAAGCTCAAGAGTTAAGAGAAATTCTAAATCAGATAACCAAAATCTTTACCTTTAGAATCAAACCCAGAACTAAGTTTCTTAATCAAATTGGCACAGTTCAGTAACTAATATATACTCTTGAGATGGCTGCGCAAGGTGCGCGATCTCATGCCCATTGCTGGTGCCCATTTTTTTTTTTAATATAAAAAAACCCATAATTTAAATAAATAAGGAACACAACTCTATTAAAATTGTTTTTTCATAACTGTTTGTTGTTATTATTACTAATATCTTAGTCGAATTCCTGACACAAGTTGGAAAAATATTAACAGTTTGATGCATATATAGAGGAAAACGTTGAATTGTAGAAAATCACACACTTAATTCTAATATGAGAGTTCAACATAACCACACAGAAAACAAAAAAACTATATATAGATTCCTTTTCGGAAAGAAACCAAAAATCAAATAACATAAACTGTTAGATTAACAAACAAATAAATACGAATCAGTAGGGTGAATGGGCATAGGGTCTAAATTTGTGTTCCCAGCTCCAGCTGTGATGACAGGCAGTTGAGGTTAGGTGGTGAATGGCATGGTTTATGCTGACAGATGGGATAGCAGAGCCGTGTGTCAGGAGATGACTGGGAGTGGTTATGGGGCTCAGAAGGTATATAAGCATGCCTGCGCCCCCCATACGCAAGACGAACACATCTGTAAGGATTTCTTACACTCAAACACTCTCTCCCTTCTCTCTATCCATCCTAAGGTGTGTGCTAACTTGACCGTCGGAGGGTTTTTCCGGCCACACACCGCCGGGTAGCTCACCATTACTTGCTCGCAGGTGATCGGACATCGACGGAGCTCGGAAGAAAGGAATACGGGCACGCTGAAATATTTGCTCCCCGTACACTACTCTAGATTCAAAATCACACAATCCATCCTATTGTGTTAATCACTAAAATTACACAAAATTAACAACCAGCAAGGTTCAAAAATCCTACCAATTTCGACACCGAGGCCTTGCATCCCGGAGACAAGGACGTTAGAGGCGAAGAGCCGCCTCATAGTCTCGCGTCCGTACGCTGCTATCTGTTTCCTGTGCAGATCTTCATTGATATCCATCGGATTCCCATTACCAAAAGCCATATCCGACAATACTCTAATACTAGCGCTGCTTAGGTTACTACTGCTGCCACCGATAATGCTGCTATCGCTCTTGTTACAGTCCTTGGGCGTCGTATTAGCTTCGGTGGCTGTTGATTTTCTGGTGGAGGATTCCGATGAAGAGATGTGAGCAACGGTGGTGAGGGACTTCGGTGAGCTAGAGAGAGTGGGCACCGATTGAGAGAAAGAACACAGGGAGGGAGAGGGCGGACCGAGACTTAGAGCGAGACAGAGACAAGGGAGATTAGGGCTTTTTATTTTAATTTTTTTTTCTGCTTTCATGGTACAAAACGATGTCGTTTTAAAATTGGCGACCAAATTTATTTGTCGCAAAAAAATTTCAATTCCCGCCCCACTAAAAATCAAATTTCCCTCCCAAACTTTTGGCGACTAAAAGACCATATTAGTCGCAGAAAAGGTACCTTCGCCGACAAACTTTTTTAGTCGCCAAATCTCAATCAACGACGACTAAAATATTGGTTGCTAAAAGTATAAGTTGTTGAAAATAAGTTTTTGGCGACCAAATTTTTGGTCGCCAAAAAATATGTGACCTTCCGCGACCAAATTTGTAGTTGGTCGGCAAAAGCATACCACTTTCTGCGACCAACTCATTTTTTGGTCGCCAAAATATAACCTATTGCGACCAATAATATTTGGTTGCCAAAAATAATGATCATTCGCGACTAATTAATATTTGGTCGCCAAAAGGTAACTTTTAGTTACCAACTTTTATATTGATTGCGGAAAGTGATCACTAAAAGTGCAGATTCTTGCAGTAAAATTTGCTTGAATTATGGTACTAAGGTCAAATTTGTCTCCATGAATCATGCAATGTTATTTTCAAAAGTATACTACAAGTGTATATGCTAGGGTGGCCGGCCATTTGATATAGATTTAAGGGACTTTTCTCATTTATCTATATATATACATATTGTAGATATTTTGAAAAAAGAGATTATAATATTAGGGGTGTACTTTTATATGTATAAAGAATGATTTAGGCTCAAAATGTAATTAAAATAAAATGTGTAGGTTTGGAATTGATTAAAATATCTATTTCAAGTGTAGTATTAATTAAAATAATGTTAGGAAAAATAATTTGGTTCGAATGATCTTACTTTGAATTAAAAGACACATAACTGAATGAAAATGATAAAAATCAAAAATTAAGATTTTAAGCTACTAATCTAAAATTTGAGAGTTAAATAATTAATACTAGAGTGTTAGAAATGATTTCTAAGTTACTGGGATCAATTATGGTTTGTACGGGCTTATTCGTGGTATGTTTTTAGTTCTAGGATTAATTTTGCGAATAAACGGGGAGCTAAGGGCTTTTATTATAATAATTCAAAAGTAAGGGTTTTACTAGGATTTACAAAATTTAGGGGTATCACACAAATATTTTCAAGCTTCAATAGAGATATCATCAGATTCTAAAGTCTTATTCGATTTCACCTTCTTAAGTGAAATCTCTACTTCAAAATTCGTAATCCTACGATAGAACTTAGTCTTGGTTTTCCTTATTATTGGCTATTTTCTTCCCTATTAACGTACCTCCATATTCCTTATTTAACAATTTCTCAAAATAGTTCTTTCACCCCTTCTTAATCTCTTCATCCTTCACAAATACCTTAAAATCCTCACTTTTGATGTACTTAATTTGATTAAAATATTTTGTTTCCTCTCTTTTATCTTAGCAAGTCTGTATATCATCTTCTCTCCCTCTTTACTATCTAATCTAGTATATAAGTCATCATAAGCTTTCAACTTAGTCTCTCTCGCTACTTATTAGCCAATCTATATCTCTTAAAGTTTTCTTTAGTTCTATTATTTTGCTACTTTTTAAAACACTCTTTTTTCGCCTTCACTACTGCTTGAACCTCTTCCCTCCACCATCAAGTTTCCTTAGAGTTGGGTCTATTTCCTTTCGACTTTCCAAGAACTTCTCATAAGATTTTCCTTATACAATTGATCATCGAGTTCTATATAGTATTAGAATCATCTTTCAAGTTCAAAGTACATTTCTTATTCATTATATTCTTCAATATTTATAGTTTATCTCGTTTTAAGTTCTACCATCTCATCTTACAACACCCACTATCTTTCCTAATTTAGTAACACCCTTTAAAATATAAATCTAATACTACAATCCAATATTAGCCCTGTTTGGTAGAGCTGTGGGAAAGTGCTTATAGCTTATGCCTAAACAGCTTATAGCTTATAACTTTCAGCTTAAGCTGATTTCCAGCTTATTCTTAAAGCATCTCCTGCCCCACTTAAAAAATAAGCTGTTTTCTGACTTCCACAAAGCTATAAGCTATAAGTTATAAGCTAAACCAAACACATCAAAATAGCTTAAATTAAGCTGAAAGCTGAAATAAACTGAAATTAAGCTGTACCAAACAGGGCCATTGAAACTATGTTTTATATTATTATTTTTATATAAAATTTTGTGGAAGAGTTTTGGTTCTGTAATTATTGTTTGGGCTTGGAGAGGATCGGTGGGGCCTACCCCCAACAATTTCAGGGCCCCACCGCTTAATTATGTTGATTAAGTACTTTGTCTCCAATCAGTCTAATCTAATCTAAATCCAGTTGCTTAAATTGTGAAGTTGGTTGAGCAGTTGCACACTGCACCCACCGCCGGACCACCCTCTCTCCATCTCCCCCACCCCACCAAAGCAACTAACTTCCTAACGGCTACATTTCACCTCTCTCTCTCTACCCAACCTTGTTTGGCAAAATACAAGAGGAAGTAGAAAACATGAAGCAATTTGTACCTTCTAAGAGTGTCGATTCCTTTGGTTTCGTAACGATTGTCACAAACACAAACCCCCCTTTCAATTTAAAGGAAGAGAGAGAGAGAGAGAATCACTGGATACCCCCCAAAAACATGAATATATTTGATGCATTGCAGGTCTCCGCAAATTAATCTCCTTATTTGAAGGGTTTTTATCCATTTTGGGTCGACAATACGCGAACCCATTTGAGCTAAATGTAGGGGAAGTCAATCCCCTATCTGTTGACCCATTTCCCCCCAATCAGGGGTCGATCTGGGTTGGTTTTGTCCCGTCCCATGAATTCGCTCTGACTTTTGATGGGTTTTGGGGGTGATGGGTTGCGTTAGTTCGAAACGGGTGAGGTCTCCTCCCCCTGCTTTCGATTCCTCCACCTCCACCACCACCTCCTCCACCTCCACCAACACCGTCAATGTTCGCCGCACCAATGCCTCTTCTTCTTCTTCTTATGCCGATTCCTCCTTGCTTACACGAGGAGGTGTGTTTGGGGAATTGGAGAAGATAAAGGAGGAGCCTGAGAAGGAGAATGAAGAGGAATCGGAGGACAACCATACTCGCGAATTGAAGCGATCCAAGTCCACAAAGAAAGGAAGTTCCGAGAAAAAAGCCATTTTCAGTTTGAGATTTGGAAGGTACACAGAAGCTGAACAAATTGCTGCCGGTTGGCCCGCTTGGCTCAGTGCTGTTGCCGGCGAGGCCATTGACGGATGGCTTCCCCTCAGGGCTGACTCTTTCAAGAAATTTGACAAGGTAAGTGAAAAACACCCCAAGATATTATCTCTTTTTTTTTTTAATCTCGACATCTTTTCTAGTTTTATTAGTTTATAGTTATATTTGTCCATTTAGTAATGGAAGAATGCAAATCATTATGTAGCAAATCACATTACCATTGACTCCCATATTCCAAGGTTAAGGTCGTTCAACGTTGAATTTTTTATTTTTCACCTTAAATTCATTGCATAATTGCCAGACACCATGTCATTCAATGTAGATCTCATTATCGTTGGCCATAGTTGCTAGAAAACCCTCTCATACCTTAGTGATTTTTGTTTTGGAATGCATATTTTGAAACATGATTTACTTCTCATTCCAAAACATTAAATTTAACAATGCAATGCATTTACTCCTTAGTGTTTTTCTCTGAGGAAAAAAAAATAAAAATCCCATATAATGAATAAAAATCTAGACAAGTGGATTAAAAAGAGGCCAGATTGTCCTTATTGTACTTGTCTTTTTGGACAAGTGGATTAAAAAGAGGCCAGATTGTCCTTATTGTACTTGTCTTTTTGAGTAATGAAGTCTTATTTTGCAACAAACAAAAAAAAAAAATAAAGAAGAAGAGGTGATTGTGTATCAAGAAATCAACTTACACGTGCTATGACCTTTTTTTTTTTTGGTCAAAAACACTTCGACAAGAAGCCAATGGCGAAGTAAAAAAAGGAAACAGAATTAGTTGTGTGGTTCAGCATATAAATAAATGGTTCCTTACTTGCACAGAGACTTAAGAACAATGATATTCAAGGAAATCACTTTTGGTGACACGCAGCTGTTTATGATGATGTTGGTGGCGAATTCTTGATGATACTGATAGTTTTTACGGTTTTCTGATCAATTTCATATCATTATTTTCATTTTCTTTACTGATATTTATGCTAGTTATTTCTGACCATAGTTCTTTTCTATTCCTATTTTATTTGTAGATTGGACAAGGGACATACAGCAGTGTGTACCGTGCACATGATGTTCAAACTGGTAGGGTAGTTGCTTTGAAGAAGGTCAGGTTTGACACTTTTCAACCAGAGAGTGTCAGGTTTATGGCTCGAGAAATTATGATTCTTCGCAGGCTGGATCATCCAAACATCATGAAATTGGAGGGGCTAATTACTAATCGATTATCATGCAGCATATACCTTGTATTTGAATACATGGAACATGATCTTTCTGGACTACTATCATATTCTGAAATTAAATTTAGCGACGCTCAGGTTTGTTCACAATCACTTTGTACATCAGGTTGCTGACAAATAAGCAACTTCAGTTTTTATTAGAATGTTTCTTCTGCATTATTTCTAATTTTCAAATATGAGATTAATTCTGCAAATTTTTTTTGTTCTTCCATCTTGGAAAATTTAATCGACTCTTCCTTTCTTTCTTTCTTTTGGTAGATCAAGTGCTACATGCGGCAGCTATTATCTGGACTTGAGCATTGTCACTCACGAGGAATAATGCATCGAGACATCAAGACGTCCAATATTTTGGTAAACAATGAAGGAACATTAAAGATAGCAGATTTTGGATTGGCAAATTATATTAGTGCAAGGCACCGGCAAGATTTAACCAGTCGTGTAGTGACTTTATGGTATCGTCCTCCTGAACTTCTGTTGGGATCAACAAATTATGGGGCTTCTGTGGATATGTGGAGTGTGGGCTGTGTCTTTGCCGAACTTTTTATTGGCAAGCCTATCCTTAAGGGGAGAACTGAGGTGAACTCCTTTGATGAATTCATATGCTCTAACATTAGATGTTAATGTGTATGTTGTCTTCGATATGCTTTTCAAAAGAGTTATACAGTAATTCACTATCTTGAAAAGAGAGAGAGAGAGAGGGGAGAAAGAGGCATAAGACATCTTGTGGTCTAGAGGTTTGGGGGTGGTTTTTTTGGTTCTTTCAAAATTCTTTTGTGGTCTTTACGTTTCCACGTCATTGTTCAAATGTGTTTACAGCCTTTTTGGAAGGAGAATTTGATTAGATCAAATTTTGAGAAATTTCTCACTTGTGATTCTCAAGCTGCTTCCTGAGCGGACGTAGCTCTCCACATCGAAATTTTTTCCATCCTTGCAGACACTACGTAGTCTAGATTTGAGAATGAAATCATCATATGCAGATTTTATATATTGTGTTTGTAATAAATTATGTATAGGACTTTGTTCCCCTTTCCTTTACTGGGTATGCAATTTTTCTTTTTTTGAAAAAAAATAAAAAATAAAAAAGTTCTAGTGAAGTTCTTTGCTTGAGATGAGATACTCCTAGAGAAAAACATAAAATTTGTTTATGCAAGTATATGTATAAATATTCAATATAACTCACTTATTTACATGCATGTTGATAGTTATTGTTAATCTCACATTTAAGTTAATGAGTGTTTTCCTTCCTTTGACAGGTTGAGCAATTACACAAAATCTTCAGGCTTTGTGGTTCTCCACCTGATGAGTACTGGAAAAGGTCTAAACTTCCTCTTGCAAGTATGTTCAAACCCCAGCATCCTTACATAAGTTCTCTGCGAGAGAAGTGTAAAGAATTCCCAAAAAGTGCTGTGAACCTCCTCGAATCTTTTCTTTCCATAGAACCTCACAAGCGTGGGACTGCTTCATCTGCCCTTGGTTCCGAGGTAACCTTCAATGGAAAAGTTGGTCTAATACGAATGCTTATTCTAAGCGTGTAATTTTGTTTAGTGGAATGTTCTGAAATTAATGAACCCTTTTTTTTTTTTCTTTTCTTTTTTTTGTGTGTGTGTGTGTTTTTCTTTTGATTGTGGCAGTTAATGAACTTCTAAGTTAAGGTTTTGTGTTTGATTGTAGGCAGTTTAGTCCCTGAACTATTTCTCAATTTACACCACTGTGGATCATGATAATGAATTATCTAATCTTTACCAAGTTTTATTTTCGCATTCTACTTGTTTTTCAGTATTTCACTACAAAGCCTTTTGCATGTGATTCGTCAAACTTGCCAAAATACCCGCCTAGCAAAGAGATGGATGCAAAAATTCGTGAAGAAGAGCGAAGGTGAAGTACCTTATTTTGTATCCTCTAATGATTATGGTGGTGCATTTTTCTAATGACATGTTCTTTGATGTGAACATGCTAATAATCAAGAAATGAAAGAAAAGGACCATTAGTATACAAGTTCACTTGGTTTCAGTGTTTTTTGAGTCAGATCTATGCAACTTTGCAGTTGTATTTGTTTGTGGGTCCTTTTGACTGCAGTTTGTTCACGCATGTATCCTCAGGGGGACAATATGTAATAACTAATATTCCTTTTCCTTCCCTTTAAACTAGATTCAATTTTTTGAAAACTACGAAGCCCCCCGCCCTCCAAAATATATTTTGCTATTAATTGCCCTCCAAATCCTAAATAGTTTTCATCCCAACCTCCAATTCCAATCCTGCTAGTAAAAAATGCTAGCTCTGTCCCAAACAATTCTATAATTTGTTACCCAAAAGTCTGAATTGAAGTACCACTATCTTTTCAGAAGGAAGGCTAGTGGCAGAATACGCACATCTGGAATTTCAAGAAATTCAAGAAAAAACCATAAAGCTTTGCAGGAACCAAACTCTATCTCTAAAATGGTACCAAAGGAGCTTTCCCTTCTCTTTTCTATCACTCGTACCCTTCTTTTCTTTTCCTCAGCAGTTACAGAATAAGCTGGTTGCAACTAATTTGTGTACTGTTGTCTGTGAAGGACCGTGGAAATGCATATGTTCTCAAGGCAAAAGGAGTCACTGAGTCTCGGGAGTCAATGTCATTGTATGATACAGTGTCTGAAGCTTCTCAGGCAACAGAGGTATCTCAAGTAGACAGCATTCGCTCAGTTCCGGTGATCACTACAATAAGTGATTTTTCATGGGCCAAAAAACAAAAAGGCAATCCTGTCTCCACAAGATTTCACAGACAGGGCAGTTCAAAAGGTCGAAATTTGCATGATGTAGACCTGCCCAGCATTCTGCATGCAAGGAATACCTCAGCCTCTGAGGAGCAAGAGAGTGAAGAATTTTCAAGCAAGGTTGACATTGATTTAGGAGACAATGAATCTTATGAGGTTGCCAAGCGTACGACGTGGAGGCAACACAGCCAACCTTATCGGCCAGAGTCTTTCAATGATTCTGATTTGTACCATTCTCAGGAATTTTCGGTGGTGAGTTTATCTAATAAAGAAAAGAATGTTTCAACACTTTGTTTGGAACTTAGATTTGGTGGGAGAAAAGGAAAAGGAAAGTAAGTGAGAAGGAGACCATTTTACTTCGAGTTTTCCCTCGTACTTTAAAAAACATTTTATGGAATAACAAGAAATGATGGAAAAGAAAGGAAATTAAAGATTCCTTTGCATTTTTTTCCCTCACCAAATCCATAAACCAAACACAGTTTTAAAATCAGTTATTTTCATACAAATAACTGAATTATTTTTGGTTTTAGTGATACTTGGAAACTAAAAGACAAAAATAATTGGGTTGATCATAATTCAGTTTGTTGTGCTTTGTTTTTCTATCATCGACATTTTGGTTTTAAAATCACTTGTCAACTTGAAAATGTATCAGCATTACAATGATAAAAAAGAAAGAACTCAATACTCAGGACCATTGGTATCTCGGTCAAATAGACTTGTTGATGAGCAAGAAAATCATATCCGGCAAGGTGTTCATAGGTCACGGTTTTACAGAGGTAGGAAACTACTACTACTATTATTATTCTGTACCTAACTGTCAAGCTAGGTTTCTGTGTTCTATTTTATTTTGTTTGCATTGTAAAATCAGACAATGCCAAAGTAATGTCTTGCACGAACATAGCAGACAATGTTGATGATGATTAAACAAGAATATTGAATTAGTTAGATATATGCGTAACAAAAACATATATTAACACTTGTATTTTGTAAATTGCAGGCTAGTAATGGAAAGGAATTGGGAGTCCGAGATGCTCACAAACTGAGAGGAGATTAGAACTTCATGGCCAAACTTCACGAGTCCCCCCAAAAATCGGAAAGTCTTTTCCATCTCCTCCAATTGAGCAGATTTGAGCTGTTGCTTTGCTAACATATATGAAGTGAAAGAAAAGGAAGTTAGTTAATTCATGAAGTGTCATAAAAATGCATAATTAGAAGAGAGAATGGAGTCACCAACAAAGGTAATGTATAAATGAAGAGTTGATTGAGCAAAATGTTGTGAATGGGTGGTCCCTTCAACATGGGAAAAAACAGGGTGGTTTCAACTTCCAACTGCTTCGGAGACAAGGCATGTAAATAATGAGTTTTTTTTGGTAGTGGCCAAACCCACCCTTACTTTGTTAATGTAATTGAGTTTCCCTTTCTCTTCTTCTTCTTCTTCTTATTTCTTTTTCTTTTTTCTTTTTTCTTTTTTATAAATTTCTCCCCTTGATAAAGAAGGCTTTCTATTATATCACATCTTCTTTTCATTTCTTTTTATTTTTTATTTTATTTTTTATGTTTAGAGGAGGTTGAAACAAGTAGAGTAGTGATTAAGTTGGCTTAAAACATCAACTTGTTTGTATACGTTTCAATCCAATCTCAAATAACTAAATTAACTATTTATTTATAACTAAGTGTGTATTTAGTCCAACACATTTGGGGATTACGAAGTGGAATGAAAAAGACAAAAAATAAAATAAAATAAAAGACAGCTCTATAGGGTGTCAACAACATAAATTTGTATAACATGATTAGGTGTTTGAAATCTTAGATTTGTGCTGTAAAAAAAAATGGAAAAGAAAATAAAAGAGAAGGAAGCCAAAATTCCTTTTTTACTATCTTGGGATAAAAATTGTTTATCAACAAATTAATTTATATTTAGTTAGTCATAAAGAAATAAATAAGGCAACACCCAGTTCTATACCCATTTAATGGGGGTAAAGGGGAAATTAAAATAAATGAAAATTAGAGGGAAAAATTACACAAACATGAAAATAAAAAACAATTACAAGAATATGAAATCTGTTTAGAAATTGACAAAAATGTCCATCACACCCTCATGTTTTTCCTTCTCTTTCTTCCTCTTTTGCAACCCCCTCCCTCGTCAAGCAACATTTCCTTCATTCATTAGCCAACCCACTCTCACGAGAAATTTTTGTATGCGGATAGGATATGTATTATGTGGTACCTTCTACTATTGTGATTGGTTTTAACAGTAGCATCTACTACATTTATGTTGAGTGTTTGGGGAACAATAATAAACATATACATTTGTGATTAGTAGAAGGTAGTGTCACGTAGTACCCTATCCGCATACAAAAATTTATCCCCCCACTTTACCTTATCTAACCCTGCTATCACCATACTCATCCTTATCCTTCCTTACACCTCTTCTTGGGTTTGTAGCGACCAAAGAGATAAAACAAAAAGCCAGGGGAACGGTGAGGTTGGGAGAAGGTTGGGGTGCTATGGGGTGGCAGGAAAGGGACCATTGTGTAAAAGGGAAAGGGTGATTGCCTGTAGGGAATTACTATTATTGAGGTTGCAGAGAATAAAAATATAGCGAAAAGAAAAGGGAAAAAAATGTTTTTTAAAAAATCATAATTTTGCATTTTTTTTTCAACTTCCCACACCTAATGTAATTAAATTGATTTTCCATTTTTTTGGAACTTTTCCTTGCTTTCTATTTTTTTGTAATTTTTCCAAAAATAAATGTGAGAAAAAAATTGGCTCATTTGGCTATAAACCCTCGTTACCTCCCTTTCATGGTTAAAAGGACTAAGAAAAATATTATATTTTTTAAACCCCCTTATAATTATAAAATCTTGCATAAAGGACAAAATTTATTATTTAAATATTTTATTAGACTATTATACCCTCAACTAAATTTTTCCACATTCTCCATCCACTCTCTCCCCACCTTCTCTGTCTCTCTCCTCCGTCTCTCCCTTCTCTAACTCCTTCAAGCTTCAAATCTGGAAGCTTAGCTACCGCTCTGAAACTCTTGCATCGACCTCACCAATGCCATCGATGTCCGATCCTCAGGAAAAACAACATGCAGAGAAGGCGGAGAATACTCAAATATATACTAAGATCGCACAAATCTATACTCGATCACCGCCGCAGCGTAGCCCCATACTCAAATCGCACAGATTTATTCTTGATTGTCAGAATCTAACATTCTCAATTTAGATTGCTGGAATCTTCGGTACATCATTATTTCTTCAGTATGTTAGAGATCTTCTTTCTATGGATGTGTGATTCCAAGATCTGATAATGTGCCATTATAGTGTTTTTATAAAGATTAGAACTGAAATCAGTAGAGTTTGCTTGATTATTCGTCTATACGTATCATTAGTATTGTATATATGTTTTTTTTTTCATACATTTGTAGCTTGTGTAGTAGTAATCAGCAGTGACGAGCTTGTTCAATTGATATTGATGAATTGAAAGATCAACAATGAATGTGCATTTTGTAAAATTTAGGCTCTGTTTGGTTGTTAATTCAAATCAATTTTCAACACGTGAGCTCGCGCATGACGTTTGGATACGACGTTCAAAAGTTGATTCTGCGTGTTGATTCAAATTACATTTTGAAAATCTGTTTGGCAGCTTGTATTTCCTTTTCAACGTTTCTGTCTTCTTCATCGTCTCTGCAACTTTCACATGAACCTCATCTACATCAGTCCTTCAGATTCATCACGGGTGGCTTCTCTGTATCAAACATCTGTACTTTAGGTTCATCACGGGTGGGTTTCAGAAGTCAGACTCATTTTATAAATAATGAATCCACCCAACCCGCTCTGTACTGGTATCATATTTCACAAATCGACTGAGTTACGATTTGTGCGTTGCGGACGATTCTTATTACGGGCAACCAAACAACGACGACTGCGAGGTGAAATTACTCACAAATTTATTTACATATTTTGTTATAGGGAAATTATTTGAGAAATTCATCTTAATTTATTTTTATTTTTTTCAGGTCAAATTTATCAAAATTTATTGTCAAATCCAACGAGCAAACAGTGGCACATTCAATCAGTATACATATTCCATCACCGGCGATAACTATTCAACTCCCACTAATCTGGTAAATAAATCCTTCATCCTTCATCTGAAAATGATTTCAGATGAGTCGATAAATGATTTCATTCTTCATCCTTCATCCTGAATTGTTTCAACTTTTTTGTTCTTCAAGAATAGTCAGTAAATCAATCTTCATCTATTATGTATAAATGATTTCGGAGAAGTTGAAATCAGTTCTTAAATGGTTTATGAGAATTTGTACAGGCATATTTTCCATTTTAGATCGGTTGTTATTTTAAATTATGAACTGTTTGAACCTTTCATCGATCAGAACCTGAAGCGGCAGTGCCTGGGACACCCGGCCGGTCGTCCCCCAGGTCATCCGACTGGTCATCCCTTCCTGCCAACTTCTCTACTTTGAACTGTTTGATATTATGCACGAAGAGAACTGTTTGAACCTTTATTTTAAAATGGAAAAATTATTTGGAAAAAACAATTATTCAAAAAAATTACTAAAAAAAATTAATTGACAAAAAAAATCAATTTTTAATTTCAGTATTTTAAAAATAGTTTGGTTATTATTGTTGATAAAAAAATATGGATATCGATATATGAGTTGTGTGTTTGATGATAAATTATTAGCTGAATTAAGTTTTGAAAACTATTTTCAAAACACATCACCAAACAAATTTTCACATTTCACATGTCATATCAAACTTTCAAAACTTAATTCAAAATACATCTTCAAAACACAATTCAACACTCTATTTAAAAACCATAACCAAACAAATTTTCTACACTCAAATCATAATTCTACAACCCACAAACTCAAAATACATGGATGGAAATAATTCCGATGACAATGAGAACACCAAAATGTGGACACCCAGAATTGAAACAAAATTAATAAATATGTTGAGAGATGAGGTTAGAAACAATCAAACAAAACAGGCCGTACTACTTCGTGGACAATTAGGCATTGGAATCATTATACAAATCAGTTGCACAACATATATGGATTTCGATATACAGGTGTCAAGGTGCGCCAAAAATATCAACAATTGAAAGCTTATTACCAGACATTTAAGTGACTGCAGGCACAGACTGGTCTGGGATGGGATCCTATTATAGGCACCGTTGTTGCACCCGATGAATTTTGGGATAAGGTTTTCCATTAATCTGTACTATTTTCTAATTTTATTTTAAATATTTCATGATATATACAGTGCGTAATTCTTGTTTTGTAATTGTTGTAGGCTAGCAGAAATGTGAAGAAGTTTAGGACAAAAGGGTTTGAATATTTTCAAGAAATGGCAGAAATTGTTGAAAATTGTTGTGCTATAGGGGCCCTGTCTCATGCATCCACACAAGGACCCCTTGACTCAGAAGAAGAAGATGACATGTTAAATAAATTTTGGAACGCTGATGTTGGTGGGAGTAACGCTGGTGGGAGTAATGCTGCTGAGGCCATTATTGTTGACTTATTCGGGGATGAGTATATGGATCCAACAAAGGGCAAAAGTCACAAGAGGGGCCCTGCAATCAGCCAGACTGACAGTGGTCGTTCCAAAAAGTCACGGTCAAGTGGGTTTGATGATGTGTGCGCAACTTTCACATCCTATGTACAAGCCAAAACAGGATATTCACGTGCACGAAAAAATGAAACTGAGGCTGTAAGTGCAGGTGGTGATGATTATTCCCTTGATGCATGTCAAGATGCATTGCTTGAGCTTGGGGACATACCACCGTTGCAGTACGTTAGGGCACTGACACTGTTCAAGGATAAGGAATGGCGAAGGTTTTTTATGCACACTCCTACCCATTTGCGCCTAGCCATGATCCTCGCTTTGCAGTGAACTGAGAAGTTCTATTTTGCTTGTGTTAGCAAATCTTCTTGGCTGAACTGTTTGATGATTTCACTATTCCTGATTTGGTTTTTATTATTATTTTTTTCATTCCATCATATCCTCTTTCCTTTTCTATGTTTGTATTTTTTTTTTTTTGGAACTTTTAAGTGTTTTCTGTTATATTAAAACTATGTTCTGTTATTATAATATGACTATGTGTTAAATAAATTTTGTTCTCCTCTGAATTTTACTGTTTCACCAATAACGCTAACTGTTACAGCATGAATAACATATTTTATAATTATGCTTTTACTGTGATGTAGACAAAGACATATGTCATTCGACAGAGAAAACAATACAATGGAGCTCTCATCAGAGGAGGATGAGGTTGTTGATGATTTTATAGATTTTTTGATGATTGCTTTAATGCATGACCATATCAACGCGTCAAGTAGTCGTCGACCGCAACGAACGTGTCCATTCAGAGGTGAAGATTACATCTTCGGCCTATTAAATGGCCATCCAGAAACAATGATGAACGTTATGCGAATGGATGCACAAACATTCATTTTATTGAAAGACACTTTACTCTATAATGGCTTTATCGATACTGAA